TGGTCGCCTTCCCAGCGAGCAGAGAAAAGTCAATCGAATGAGTCAACGAGCTTAGCCCAGATACCACCTCGTGTTACGCATGTCTGTCGTTCGACCCTTCACTCCATGAGCGCCACTCCATGAAAGCAACTGGGTCTCTTTGCAAGTGCAAACGCAGATCTCAAACGTAACAACCCTCCACTCTATGTTCTCATAACCCCGCATGCGGATTCGCGGTGATGCATTTCCTCGGTTTGACACAGGGTTTCGTGGTCTCCCCAAGCTGCGCCCATGAACATAGCAATCACTCGTACATTTCAAGTGTAGCTAACACACTCCTTGCGCCTGTGTGCGTTTGCGCTGCGCACAAGATGCACACCATCATATCAACACATGCGAAAGACGCCTTCAAACAATGGCCCGAAATTCCATGATGCCATGGATTACGATGGAGACGAAGGTCACATGCCAATGACAAAACCATGAACAACGTGCACAAATTGGTTACTCGTAGACCTGATGATGTAAACACCATCTTTTTATGTCCGAGAGCCTGAACACCCAACAGTGTGCGAACTGTAATGGGCTGTGTCAACAGGGATACATGTGCGGTTCTGATGTGGTGGTGCTGGTCACGCGTTATGCCGCCCAAGAGACGGTTCTGTCCCAACGATCGAATGCGAATTCGGTGCTCGAGCGACGAGCCATGTGAATCCGCATGGTCCTGCACCTACATCGCTCGGATACGAACTCACATCTCCACACCACACCAAACCAGACGGGGCCGCGCATTGCTGTGCTCCAAACACGCGGGCACGGAATCGCTCAGCGCTATGTCGTCAGGTGACACGGAACGACGTGCCGAGATGCACTTTCAATCACGAACTAAACCATCCAACGCCAAGCGGTACGACATGGTTCTCCCCACAAGACTATCTGGTACGAAATCGGTTCTCTGGCGCCGGGTGGTGCGGTGCTGCGTGGTGCCGTGCCCAGACGTACGGATACGAAATCGAGACCCCCCAGTGCCATGTCCTGTGCCGCCACCAAATTCATGTGTCTAGACGCCTTGATGCGAAGTCGGTTCTCAGACACGACTTGCCATGCAAAGCGCAGCGTGATACTTCCCCCGAAAGGCTGCATACGAAGCCGTGTGCATGGCACACTGCAGCACAAGGCCGAATGGTTATGTGCAGACAGCTCGGATGCAAAGCTGGCTGTCCGAAGCCGTGCTGCGCGCTTCTTCTGCGAGGGGCCGGGCCCAAACGTGCGTGCAAGCCATCGGTGGTCTGGCGGGGTGCCGTGCCATGGCGCTTGGTGCCTTGCACAGACGCGCAGAAATCACATGGGTTTCCCTGCGGCACGCCACGACATGCTGCTTTCGTGGCGCCATGCCCATGGCATGAGACTACACTCCGGAGTCGTGCCGTTACGCCTCGAATGGTGATGCGGCCAAACCCTTGGATACAAGATCTGGCTTCCAGCATTGCGGCATACGGTGCAACTATGACGTGTCCACGCGCCCAGGAATGTCGGTTGCCCAGTGCTGTGCAGCATGGACCGTGATCACCATCACCGAAATGATTTGGCTTCAGGTGCTGATACGGGCCCCTCGGGGAGATGGAATGCTGACTGCTCAAAACGGTTCCACTCTTCTGACCTTCCGGCTCTTGATGCCAAATTCCCAAAACTGCCCTACATGGGTGCACACTAAGTCACTCACGTAAGCGGTTTGCGCGAAGTCTGGTTCATCTGAGAGATATCTCTACACTGGTGAATGAATGCCGTTTGCAAAAGTGCGGTCTGGAGAATGCCGAGTAGAACGCAGACGTAACTCTCCCCATCACGACGAACGAGCAGCTGAATTGCGGTGGATCCCTGTCGGTCACTTCTGTGAAATGCTGAAGGGATCAGGTCCACGCCACTGCTACCTCATCGCATGCAACCCCTCATTCGGGGATGGACAGACCTCCCTTTAGTAAAACGTGGTTTAATGAAAACGACATGAGGCCCAAACCTGGCGGGCGCAAGCCTGGAAAATAACAGCCGCGGCGCCCTCTCGAGAACCGAAACCGGACAATTCACTAATCGACATGTCACTGTTGGGGTTTCTGTCCACCCCCGACTCATGCGCCCATCTGTCTCCCCCCCGTGCAAGGCGCGCGTTCAAGAATATAACCGGGAGCAAGGAAACCAGATTGAACCTTCACCGCTCCATACCCATCTCGCAGGCAGACAACGACGGCGGAGAAACAGGATTGGACGCCACGCGATCCCCGCACACACCCAGAGACAAGCACGCGCACATGGAGCGCGGCTCGACATAACATATGTTGTGCACTCATACATGCAAGCACACCCTGGCTACAGGGAGCAGGTTCAAAGCCCAAAGCCGAGCCCTGGGGAGGCATCTACATATGCATGCTGCACGCTGGTGTGGTGGGAGAACGAGGGATTCAAATCCGCCGACGCTGCCGGCGTGTGCGAGAGGCCATCTCACTTGAAGCTTTCCCTCTTTCCCTGTGGCCACCGTCTGAACCCTCCTCCTCAGGCGCACCAGCCCTAACTAAATCGGGCCAAGGGAAGCCCCTTCACTTTGATCCCTTCGCTGCTGGGGTCCGTTGGCGGTAACTCATCGCCCAGCCATGGTCGCTGGCACGAGCACAATTGAACACATGCGTTGCACAACGCAATCTGTAAATTCACATTTTGGGAAAACGCAACATGTCCCACCAGCCCATTGCGCTAAGCTGGTCTAGCGAATTCTTTCCTCTTCCAAAGAACCCACTTCCATTCGGGCAGGGGTACCCTCCTCCGCCCCTCGCTGATATTTTTTTTCTGGGGGGGGGGTCGCGAGGTGGTAGGGGGCACGTGTTCGCCCAAGATGGTTCCAAGAGGGCATCCGATGCTCCACGGCGGCTCGAGATAGCTCAGGATGGTTCATTATCCCAGTGCGACCCTACCTAGGAGTTGGAGCATTTAGGAAAGCAACATCTACATCTACACCGACAGCTACATTTACATCTACACCTGCATCTACATCAACATCAACAGCGAGACTCACATCTACATGTACATCTACACCTACATCTACACCTACACCTTCATCTACAGCTATGATATGCTATGTTATGCTATGCTGCGCTGTGCTATGATAAGCTAAACTATGATATGATATGATATATGAAGTTGCGTCATGCTATGATATGTTATGCTATGCTATGATGCGCTATGACATGCTGTGCTATGCTATACTATGTTATGATATGCGATGGTATGATATGATATGATATGATATGGTATGATATGATATGATATGCTCCTGCTGCGCTGCGCTAAGCTAAGCTGAGCTAAGCTACGCTAAGCTTAGCTAAGCTAGGCTAGTCTAAGCTAAACTAAGCTAGGCTAGGCTACGCTATGCTATGCTATGTTGTGCTATGATATGCTATGCTATGCTATGCTGCACCATGCTATGCTGCGCTATGCTATGCTATGATATGCTATGCTATGCTATGCTATGCTGCGCTATGCTATGTTATGCTGGGCTATGCTATGATATGCAACGCTAAGCTAAGCTAAGCTAGGCTAAGCTACAGCTACAGCTAAGCGAAGCTAAGATGAGATAAGCAACGCGAAACTAAGGGAACGTCACTGGGGGATCCGCGGGGCGGGTGCCGGGGGAACCGCCCGGGGCGGGGAACACTGCCCGGCCCTTTAAGCTTACCGAGTAAGAACCGTTCTAGGCAGAGCCTAGGTAGGGAACTAGCTTCTCACATACCCACAAGCGGCCCGACGAGGGGCACAAGGCGGTTCCAGGTGCTCTCGGAGTCACCCCTCACAGGACCCCCCCCAAGGGGCAACACATTCTCCAAACGCTGGAGGAACATCCATGCCATGCGCCCTCTCGCCGCTTCGCTTCCGATGCGATGTTGAGGCCTCAAGACGGCCCCCAAGATAGCCCACGGGAGGCCCAACAGGGGCAGACGAGGCCCCCCGCACGGTCCCAAGAGCGCCCAAGATCGGCCAAGAGCGCCCAGGGGGGGGAGGCACATTGAGACCCCCCAGTTTGTGATCGATGGCCTCCAAAACGGCCCCAAAAGGCCATCCACGTCGCCCAAGTGACCCCCAAGCGGGCTCCAAGACGACCCCCGAAGAACCCCAAGCCCCCCTGCAAGAGCCCCAAGAAGACCCGAAGACCCCCAAAAGAGTCCTACGATGGCTCCTACAGGCAACTTTGAGGGCCCATTTCTCGTCCGTGTTATCCTCCTCATCCTCCTCCTCCTCCTCCTCCTCCTCCTCCTCCTCCTCCTCGTCATCGTCCTTGCCCTCGTCGTCGTCCTTTTCCTTTCCCTCCTCTTCCTCGGCTCCTTCCCTCGCCCCCACGCGGACCCCAGGGATGGCCCGAAGAGGCCCTCAAAGGCCAACGCTGTGCTCCCAGAGATCTCTCTGTTCACCCTGGTTACCCGCTCTGTCTCACTAGCCTCGTTCACTAGACTCAATGTGCTGGTGGAGATACGCGAAGCGTGAAGGCATACCTTGAAAACAAAACGAAATATGTGAATTCACGTATAAGAAAACGCAACATCTGGATTCCCACTTCCCGGTATCAGTACTCCGTTTGCAACAAATATGAATTCACATGCTGGAAAAGCACAACCTGTGAATTCACATTATGATAAAACGTGCAATGTGAATTCATAAGTTTGGTCAATCGCTCAATGCACCCCTGGTGATGGCACAAGCCCTAACAAGGCGGGCAACAATAATTGAGCGATGAGCTGCTGTCAAGGGAACACGATCCATCATCACAGTCATGTCTCAATATACCCTCGAGTAGAGGATGCAAACCAGAACGAAGCTTGCATGGGCGACACATAAGCCAGGAGTGGACCATCAAGAACCCATTGAGAACACCCTCTGGCAGACACCCGATTTCACCCTCCGGTACACCCATCCAGTTCCGTAACCAAACACAGTAGGATCCCCTGAGTGACCACAATGGTGCTGGTGAAGATATGTATCTATGACGTACCTGTACATCTGGGCGCCAAATCCCTGGTATATAAATACCGAATTCAAATCGAAACTGTGTGGGGGGTGGGGGAAACACAAAGAAACACACAAAAAACACGTGTGTGTGTGTGTGTGTGTGTGTGTGTGTGTGTGTGTGTGTTTGTGTTTTGTATTTTTTGTTTTTTCCCACAGAATAATACGGCGCCAAACATTGTGACGCCGTCTCCGTCATCGCCACGGAAACAGCATGGGCGGCATGACTGAACAATCAGCGGTGGACCGCTGCGGCCGCATACGTTAGAAATTCGTCAGGGCTACAGTCAAAACGTATATTAAGGACGGGGTGTAAGGATGCAAGACCCTTGGAGGCCGAAGTTGGGATTTTTAGGGCGGCGGGCGACCAGTGATAATGGCAAGGACGAGCCTCAGAGGCAAGGACACAAGGGTACCCTAGATGAAGGCGCGCGTCCTTACTAGGCGCGTTGACTGTAATTCAATCATCCTGTTATACATAGAAACGTTTGGGGGGATCAACCTTTCCAGGGACAGAATGTTCCCCCGTCCTCTCGCCAACCCCCATGTGTCTGGATGTCTGGATAGGGGGTGATGCGCGCAAACGGTCAGGGCGTGCAAGATGGCCCATGGGGTTTCAAAACGCCTCCTGGCGGCCCAAGGTGACCTCCCAAATCCGCCGAGGCCCCCTTGAGGTTCATCGGGGTGTGAAGTGTTTCCTCATTCCCGCTGGGAGGCCAGACCGGTCGATTTGGAGGGGGGGTCCCCCGGGGACCAGGCGAACTTGCCACAGGGGGACAGGGCTCCAAAACAGGCCAAGAGAGCACCAAGAGGCCCTCTGGACGGTCCAACAGGGCCACGAGCCGCCGAATGATCAATCGAAAACGCCCACGCTGGCCTCCGGACGGCCCAAGAGGCGCCCACGACGCCCCAAGAAGCTCCAAGAGGCGTCCCAAGATGGCCTCAAAGAGCAAAACTCGGCCCATGTTCATGGAACATCCCGCAGCACATTCGCCTCTCCCGCGATCACAACATCCAAGACAACCCGAAAAACCTCCTTGGTCGCCCAAAGACGGCCCAAGAGGCCTCCCAAAGGGCTCTCGGACGACCAAAACGGGGGACAGAGGGCCCCAAAACATGCCAAGAGGGCACCAAGACGCCTTCTGGACGGCCCACGAGGGCCACGAACCACCAAAAGATCAATCGAAAACGCCACGTTGGCCTCCAGACGGCCCAAGAAACCCCCAAGACGCCCCAACAAGCCGTCAAGAGACGTCCAAGTACAGCCTCGAACAAAAACAACATTCGACCCATGTTCATGGAAAAACATTCATGTTTAGCACATTCGCCGCTCATCCAGCCCAAGAAGCCTCCTGGGTCGCCCCAAGACGGCCCAAGAGGAGGGCTGTCAGACGACCCACGAGGGCCCCGAGACCGCTCGAACAACACACACGACGGCCCAGGAGGGCCCCGCAGCAGCCCCGAGAGGAGGTCCAGGAGGGGGAACCCACACGGACAACTCGAGCCGTCTGCCCCGCGCCGCCGCCCAGTGGTCCCCCAAAAAACCCAGAAGGCCTTCAGGGAGTCCTGCGAGGCCCCTCAAAAGGCTCCTCTTGAGGCCCTCGGGAGGGCCCCCAAGAGGTCCCAAAACTGCTTCCGAAACGCCCCCGGGACGCCTCCCACGAGACCCGTCCGCCAACCGTGCGGCCTCCGACCCGCAGCCCAGGCGCGGGTGGCGGGATGCGCCGAAGGCTTGTCGATAATCGCGCTTCTGGAATTTGAACATGGGCCCGCCGTTAGTACGCGTGGGTGTCGCCAGTTCCCTGCGCGTGCACGGCGGACACTGGAAATGTCGGCCACGGAGGAGGAGGAGGAGGAGGAGGAGGAGGAGGAGGAGGAGGAAGAGGAGGACTGGGCGGAGGAGGCGGAGGAGGAGGATGAGGCGGAAGCGGAAGCGGAAGTTGATAGGCAGGAGGGGGGCGTCGCGAGTGCCGTGGGCCCCGGGGGGCATGTTTGGCGAGCGCGCGGCAGGTTGTCCAGGAGGGGCCCCGACGCGTCCCATGGCTCGCCCCGAGACCCGCACGACGGCTCCCGAACGTAACTTGACGGATGCCCGCCGAACGTACTTGCCAGTGGGTATCCGCCCCTTTCCCCGCTCTTGTCCCTCGCACGCCAGAGCGGCCCAAACAGAGCGCCAACACGGTCCAAGACAGCGCCGAACTGGCCCAAGGTAGCCCAACGACGATCCAAGACGGCCTCGAGACACCACTCGAACCGCCCAGGACGGCCCAGGAATCAACCCGTGGCGCGTCGGAGGCACAAGTTCTCGCTTTCCGGCGCGCACTCCGAAGAGAGGTAGCCTTCCTACTCTAATCGACATGGCCTGACCACTCGTCTGCGGGCACCACACTCTCGTCCCATCACATCCTCCCACCCCCTGTCCCCTTCAACCACCTCCCCGGCAAGGTTCTCATGACCCTCATCCCGGCCAGGCCTTCGAGAGGAGTATGCCTGCGGCCCTCTCGCGCCCTATACGAAGCCAATCCGTATGCCCGAAAACAGCATCCCGCCAGCCCTCCGGGCGTCGTTGGGTGAGGGGAGTCTCTCGTCCAACACCCTTCTTCCACTTCGGAAGATGATCCACCCCTGCTTCGCAATTTGTCGACGCCCGCCCCCTCGACCGACGGTCGACCCGACACAAAGACACCCCCCCCAAGCATCCCGGCCATCACAACAATTACAAGACAGAGCGCACTTTGCGACAGAACCTGGATAATCTTCTGGCGTCCCGACCTCACTGTTGGTGTGTTACAGTCGGCTTTCATTGGACAGGACTCGCGAGATGACAAAAGACCCTTCCGAGGGCCACATTGCCATAGGAATGCAGGAGGCATGGGCCGCGAGACACACGACACAAAGGTACCCTTGATCTGGCAGGGTCGACTTACTAATCCGGGCCGACTGCACACGACGGCAGGGGGCATCATGCTATCCACTACCCTTCGTGTGCAGGCCCACCACCCCTCTCGGGAAAGAGACGCTGCCATGCGCACGTGGCGGCAACATCCCCCGACCCCCTGGGGTGTCCTCGGAGTGCGAGATGCCTATCGCCACCACGACCCCTCCACCCAGACCCCGGTCCGCTCGACTTGGAGGGAGAGGGTCCGCCTGGCTCCCTGGGGCCTGACCCCACCGCGCCATGGGAGGCTAGAGGCCCCCCACAACGAGCCCAGAAACTCCACGAGACCCTCAAGGCTGTCCCTGAGGAGCCCCAGTCGCAGACGGCTCTTCGAGGACGGCCAAGTAGCCTCCTGACGACCCAAGACGCCCCCGACACGCCCCAAGTCTCCTCCAAGAGCTCTCTGAAAAGAACCACACGAACCAACATTCATTGATTGATGTTCAACCCGCTTTTAGAAGAAAAAGCGTTCTCGTTTTTTCGGTTTCCCGACGCTCCACGACGGCCCAAGACGCTCCCAAGATCTTCCCAGACAACCCCAGAGACAGTGATCGCAAGGAAACTCCAAGAGACTCTCAAGACACAGAACACAAGGGCACCCTCGACTTGGCAGGGTCCACCTACTGATCCCGGCCGACTGCACCCCGGCACCCTGGCCCGAGGGCGCCCCCTGCCGGCAACATGGGCCACCGGCCTCCCGAGCGCGAGCGTCGCCCCCGGGGGGGCCGGCGCGCGCGCGGCACAACGGCGCGCCTGGGCGGCACCGGCGCTGCACCCGCAGGGGTTGCCATCTACTGTGAAGTCGGGCCTGTCCTCCCACAGGGAACTTCGTCCGACCCCATGATCCAAGACCCCTCTGCTTCGCCGCGACGCGATTCTGCCACTGGAGGGGCATGTCGTGCACGTCCCGCGCCCTGTTGGAGTCCTGTCGCAGCGGCCCAAGCATCCGGAAGGCCTCGCGCGGGGGGGGGGGCTCGGAGGGAGCAGGACAGGGTCGCGAGAAGGAGGAGGAGGAAGACAGGGTCGCCAGCGCCAAGGGAGGAGGGAGGAAGGGGGGGGGAATCGAATCAAATCAAGCTCTGAGGGCATTGCATCAACTTACACTTAGAAAACACTACGTTGAGGAACTCACAGGGCCATCCGGGCGGACAAGAGCTGCTGCACTGGCGATTTGGAGCACCCTCGTTTGCCGATTGAGCTGGGGGGGGTCCGCACCATCACGCTGCTGGGAGTGCTCTCAGTCTCCAAGAGATTGAAGCTGCACGAGAGAAACGGTCAGGAGCTGAGGGAAGGATGATTCTGAACTGTGAGGAGGAGGAGGAGAATGATAAGGAAGAGGAAGGAGGGGGTAGGGGGACAGGGTCGCCCAGGGGGGGGGAGGGAGGAGGGAGGAGTGAACAAGAACAGCACCAATGACAATGTTATACAAGGGGGGAGGAGGAAGGACGGAGGAGGGGGGAGGATGAACGAGGGAGGAGGAGGGAGGAGGGGGTGGGACGATGAAGGAGGGAGGGAGGAGGGAGGAGGAAGGGGAGAAGGGAGGAGGGAAGGGGAAAAAAGGAGGAGGGAGGAAGGAGGAATAGGCGGAGGAAGGAGGAGGAGGAGGAGGAGGAGGAGGAGAGGAGGAGGAGGAGGAGGAGGAGGAGGAGGTAGGAGAGAGGGAAGGAGGAAGGGAGGGAGGAAGGGAGGAGGAGGAGGACGAGGAGAAAGAGGAGGAGGAGGAGGAGGAAGAGGAGGACAGGGAGGAGGACGGAGAATCGGGGCACCTGTCCGCAGCATAATCCCACCTGCCCTTGAGGGCGTGAGTGGCTAACGGAGTTTCCTCTTCTACCCCCCCTTCTTACTTTCTGGGAGAAGTTCTTTACTGTTCCTTATGAAATAATACTAGAAGAAGAAAAACGCCACAAAAAGTAAACTGTGGGCGCTCCGCGCGGATTTCTCGAATCTGCGTTGGACCCCCTCCCTGGCGCACGGAGCGCGCCAGGGGCGGCGAGGGAGGCGCTGCCAGGGGGTGCCCAGCGCGGATCCGAGAAATCCGCGCGGAGCGCCAACAGTTGATGCTTATGTCGTATCTTCTTCTTCTTCTTATTTTTATTATTCTTCTTCTTCTTCTTCTTCTTCTTTTTCGAAATACCCCTTCCACCAGGAGCGGCATGCAGTGGCCCTTGAGGGCGTGAGTGGCTGACGGAGTTCCCTCTCGAGCCTGTTTTTTGGATTCAGGCAAGTTTACTTGCATGGCGTTCGCCCCCCCCCCCCCCCCCCCCCCCCCCCCCCCCCCCCCCCCTCTTCAAGCGAATACTAGCGTGCAAGTGCCTTTCGACTTGCGTGATTTCCGCGCCCCCCGAACGTGCAAGTCGTTTGCGGCCTGCTTCAGGCTCAGCCCCCCCCCCGGTCCATGCAAGTAAACTTGCCAGGGTCTAAAAAAATACAGGCTCCTTCCCAGACCCCCGACGTCATGATTTTTTCATGACGCGACCCCCAGAGGTCCAGACCCATTCCCCGGGACCGGTTTTTCATCCCGAGTCGTTTTTTGACGGTCCCGAGGCCCGGTAAGGGCCCTCAGAGGCCGAAAATAGCGAAAACCTCCCGTCGTGATGTTTTCACGACTGCTCCCTCCGCTCCCTTCCGGAGAGAGAAGCTCACCGCTGGTCCTCCTCGAGGAGCACCCCCTCCCCCCCGCGGCGGCGTGCCGTGCCGTGCCCCCCCCCCCCCCCGGGGCTCTCCGCCTCTGCTGCGGCCGCCGGCGGAGGGCGGCGGCGGGGGGGGAATCCCGGGACGGCGGCGCGGCGTCGGGCCTCTGCGGCGGCCTCTGGCAGATCCCCACGGGTTGGGCGTGGCTTAATGGGGGGGTCACTAATGGGGGGGTCAGAAAAGGTCCCCTTTCGTGCCCCTTTCGGGCCCCTCGGGAGCCCCAGGGGGCTCGTTTAGGTACCGTTTGGGTACCTTTTCGGACCACCCTCGCCACCCCCCCATTTATGACCCCCCCATTACGCGGCGCCCAACACGGTCCGTCACCGCCTGTGTCGGGGATGGACAGACCTCCCTTTCGCAAAGCGTGGTTTAGGGAGAACGACCTGAGGCCCAACCCCGGTGGGCGCGAGCCTGGAAAAGAGCGGCCACGGCGCCCTCTCGAGAACCGAAAACGGACAATTCACTGATCGGCGTGTCACTGTTGGGGGTTCTGTCCACCCCCGACTGTGTTTTGGGGGCCCAGAGAAGAGCGCATGTTTTTGCTCGCGGCCACAGCGGGCGTCATTGGGGGGGGGGGGACGGGGGGGGCATATAAGTAGACAAGCGCGTTCCACTACTCGCACAGGAACTGCTCGCAAGCGGGCTGGATCCGCCGCGGTGGATTCACGATGTACTACCGTAGAGGAAGAAGTTGTGTCCTGGACGTTTGCGAGTAGGCACTTTGCACGTAGTGGAACGCGCTCGGCGGTTTGGAGCCCTGGAAGAGCGCATGTTTTTACTTGCGGCCACAGCGGGCATCATGGGGGGAGGAGGAGGGCGGGACGGGGGGGGACATAAATAGACGACTCGAAAAGTAACTACTCGCAAATGGCCATGATTCGCCGCGAGGGGTCTACGATCCATCGCATCGAGAGGCACACATGGGCTTTTCGCGCGTTTGCGAGTAGGCACTCTGCGAGTGGTGGAACGCGCTCGATGAAAAAAGTGACGCCCCCCCCCCCCAGACTGTGGTGCCCGACGCACTGCGGCAGTGCGCCGGGGATCTACATACCGAGGGGGGGGAGCGTTACGCGTTACGTTGTGGGGTGCGGGTGGGCGGGGCGAGGGTCGGGGGCACAGCGCGCGGAATGGCCCAGAGGGCAAAAAGAAAAACACTCCCGAAGCCTCGGTCGCCCAGGAAGCCCTCGGCGAACGACCCGAGTCCCCGCACCCTGCGCTCGGCCCAGATCCACACTGGACCCCCTCAAAACCATCGACTCTCCTGAATCGAAGAGGCGGGGGTAGGGTTAGTTCGCCAAGTGTTCGGCGGATTGCGAGCCCTACTCCTGCCGTCCATCGAGTTGCCTGAATCATTGATCGGCGAGGGTAGGGTTCGGATTTCGCCGCCTGAGATCACGACGGGCTGATTTTCCCAGCTGTCGGGCCCTGGGGCCCTCACGGATCGATCTGGCTCGGGAAGTGCAGGATATCAAGATTGTGCCGAGATCTCCAGGCAAGCTTTGCGTGGCGGCGTCGGGTGTCGAGGTGCGCCCGCTCGGCTGTCAGCACGTGGGCGGAGCAGGTGCTTGTGTGACAGCATGTTCTTGCACGTGCGCACCACACCCGTATCACTACACGAAAACACTTAAAACATATCACAAACGCGCCGTCGCTCGAATCACGTACCTGCACAACAGTACCACGGTAATTATATCAATGCGCTAATCTGGATTCCCATCGTGGGCGTTGGTTGCCTCTCAGGACGGCCAGGGCGTATTGCTCCACCGTTGTCAGTGCCGGCCGCTGGAAAGAAAACGACGGAAGCAAAGACAAACTCGACATCATAACAACTGAGCGTTTTGGGCCCGATCTGGGAGCGGCTGGAAAGCCAGCGGCAACTGAAAACGGCAACGCTGGAAGGGGCATGGACGAAACTGATTGCGATAGAAACACACTGGAGAACGGAAAGAAAGCGATGTGGGCGGGTCATGGGGGCGAGAAACCAGAGAGAAGACAGTACAACAAGAAGACTGTGTGCGAAATCCACCCAGACAGAAGTGCTGAACCGATCAAGAAAAAGAAACGTGCAAGCTCAAAACGCAAAACCACTGCCCTGTCCGTTGCGACCTGCATCGAACCAATCGGAGAATGCTGAAGACGGTATCTGACTCGACCAACACTGTTCGCAAATTGTTCGGAACCTCGGACGTGCAGCGTGGTAACGTAATACCCTCGTTCTGAACACCAACAGATGTGCCCCGATCTACAATGCCATGAGAGACTGGACAGAAACGTTGCTTCTCGTTTTGCTTTCGCTGGGTGCTTCGTTTTGCTCTGGCTGTTGTGGTGCACCCTCCCTGCCACAGCGAGAAACAAACCACGGCCGAAGTCCAGCAAAACAGCGTTGAGGTCCGGCCATGTTGCGAGGCGGGGATGTATCCATATCCACCGCCTGGTAACCAACGTCCTGGTGCCTCAGCGGGCGGTGGGTATGGATATATTTCGGCCCCATGGGGGCCCGAATACGTCCATATCCACCGCCTGCCGAGGCTCCGACACCTGACCCTCCAGGCGGTGGATGTGGATAAATTCCCGCCTCAGACCTGTGCCACGACACCGTCAAGCGAGCGAGCGGAACGTGCGCAGGCCGCCTCGTCGATCGCGAAGTGGTCCTGCGGCGCGCGCTTCGCCGCGGGGGGGGCCCCGTGCTCGGCAGGCACAGCCGCGCGAGTCGCACGCCGTCCCGCGGCCTCGACACGCCCTTCGAGATGGGCCTTGCGAACGCCGGCGGCGAGCGAAGGGGGGGGGAAGTGAGAAGGCGCGGGCCTTCTCAGAAGGCTCGTATTCTTATCCTTCTTTTTCGTCTTCTTATTCTTCTTCTTATGATTCTTCTTCTGGTTATCAATCCCCCAGCCTTCCGAGGAGGCCCCCGAGCCTCCCCCGAGGACACGCAGCAAAAAAAAATACTTCTCAGAGAGCGCGAGGCCTCCTGAGAAGGGCCCCGCCACCTTCCGAGAAGGCCTTCTCCTTCTCACTCCGTCCTCCCCCCTCGCCCGCCGCCGACAGTTGTTAGGGGAACGAAATGTGACATAAACATAAAAACTCGGAGGTGCGCGCGGATTTCTCGGCTCGGCGCTGGGGCCCCCCGGCGGCGCCTCCGGCGCCGCCCCTGGCGCGCTCCGCGCGCCAGGGAGGGGGGTCCAGCGCCGATCCGAGAAATCCGCGCGAACCTCCGAATTTGTATGTTTGTTCCCCTAAGTGTGCCCGCACCGCAGGTCACTCCAGCGAAATGCCACTCCTACGTGACGCCGCATGTGAGCGTTTTTTGTTACTCGGCATTTCGGCATTGGGCGGACAGGGGGGGGGGGGGAGGGGTGGGGTCTGGCTCTGGGCCTCTGCTCAGCGCGACTCTTTGCGGCAGTGCGTCCTGCGGGGGGAGGGACTCCACCTGCCCGAAACAGGCGCCAGAGACAGCCAAGATCCGCTCCATTAAGGGGGGGGTGCGGGGGCCCGCGCTGATCGGCAAACCCAGAGATCCGATGTCGTAATTTTTTCAATGCGGGGTCCCCGGAAGTCTCGACCCATTCCCCAGGACCGGCTTGTCGTCCTGAGTCGTCTTCTGACGGTCCCGAGGCCCGGCGAGGGCCTCTAGACGCCGAAAACGGCGCAAAACCTCCGCCTTGACTTTCTCGATGCGCTGGATCTCCGGGACACAAGGCATAAAAAACAACCGCGCGACGCCGCATCCTGCGGACAGGGCCGCGCCTGCTCGGCGCCGCCGTCCGCCGCGGGCGCGGCAGGTGGCCGCCGGCGCTCGCCACACCGGGCCCCCCCCCCGGGGCCTCGGACGACGCGGTGTTTTCGTCGGCGGCGAGGCCCGCCGAGGACGGAGAGGCCGCCCGAGGCCGCCGCGTGTCCGCTGAACAGTTACCGACCGGCCCGGCAGTCCTGCAGTCCTGCCACGATGTGTGCTTAGAAGAACCCAAGACTGTTCTGAGAGCAAAAACAATGTTCTCAGAACCTAAGCCCGATGCTTTCTTTTTTTCCAGAAAAAAAACAGACTCCGCCAGAAATGTTCCAAGAACAGTTCGTGGAAACCACAGAAAAGGCTCTTAGAACATGGTTCGGCAGGACCATGGGCACGCCAGGACGTTTCGTCACTGTTTGAGTCCTCCTGCAGGCGGACTTGATGGGCAAGAAACAGTCCAACAAACAATCGCAATACATTCCCCAACAATGCGCAAATAAATGAACACGCCGTCCCCAGGCTATAGTTTGAGAGTCTTCCTCCTGCAGAGGGACAAGCCCGACTGGAGCCCAAGTTCGCACGGCGCGCCACCCGCGAGGTGCGGCGCGCGCGCACCTCTCCGATGTTCGCTCGCGCCGCCCCCACCCCTTGGAGCGAAGGGCGACCGTTCTGGCCCCCGCGCCGCGGCGCGCGCGGCGCGGTGATGCCTTCGCGCCCCCTTCGGGGGGAACGAAAGGGGGGAAAGCAAAGGGCAGGGTAGAGAATCAGCTCAGGTAGCTGATGTTCCCGGCGCCTCCCGGCGCCGGGAGGCGCCATGGGCCCGGCGGCGGGGCCGAAACCAGCTGCATGCAGCAAATTGTGTATCCCCGTTGACGTGGAGGTGAAGGCGAAGCTCTTCCCTTGGATCCCTTCCCGGGGCGGAGGGGGGTCCCGGGAGGGGGTCCCGGGGGGTGGTCTGGTCCAGGGTAGTGGTCCCCGGGGGTGGTCCTGCAGGGGGTGGTCCCCGGGGGTGGTCCCGGGGGAGGTCCCGGGTATACTGTGTTTTTTTTTTTACTACAGGGCCCCCACTCCAACAGCTCCCCCTCCTTCTCCGATGTGAAGGCGAAGCCCAGCCCTTGGATCCCTGTCCAGGGGGGGTCCCCGGGGTTCCCGGGGGGCGGTCCAGGGGGGATGGTCCCGCGCGGGTGGTGGTCCCGGGGGGTGTCGCGGGGGTAATGTGACTGGGCCCCCACTCCAACAGCTCCCCTCTTTTCCTCCTCTCCTCCCCCCTTCCCCGCCGGCGCTCAGCAAGGCGCGGCGACATGGGGTCGTCGTCGTCGTCGTCGCCGCCGTCGTCGAGGAGGGGGAGGGAGAGGAGGAGGGGGAGGTGTCAGGAGGAGGTGGGGGAGGAGGACGAGGAGGAAAAGAAGGAGGTGCAGGAGAGGGAGGAGGAGGGGGGATGGAGAAAGAGAAGAAAAGAGGAGAAGGACAAGGAGGAGGAGAAGCAGGAGGAAAAGCAGCAACGGCTCCTACTCCTCCTTTTCCTCCACCCCGCCTTCCCCCTCGTCTTCCTTACCTCCTCCTCCTCCTCCTCCTCCTCCTCCTCCTCCTCTTCCTCCTGCTCGCCCTCCTCCTTCTCCTCCTACTGGTCGTCGATGTGCTTCAGGGTCGGCGGCATCGGCCGTCAGGCCCTCTCAACACAACTGGTGGTGAAAAGGCTCCCGGAGGAACGACTGGAACATTTTGAGTCGTGAGCCTGTCACCCTCCTCCTCGAGGACGGGGGGACTGTGGAGCCCCTCGGGGTTCCAGGGCGCGCGCGCGAGGCTTTCACACTGAGTTCGCGCGTGCGTCTTTCAGTGGTGTGCGTACTCTGTGGCGTCCTCCTCTCCTTCCGCCTCCCCCTCCTCCTCCTCCTCTTCCTCCTCCTCCTCCTCCTCCTTTTTTTTCTCTCTCCCCCCTCCCCTCCCCCCCAAAAAAGCACAGACCAGTGTTTTTGTTGTTTTTGTTTTGTGGGGGGTCGGCGGCGAAAAAAGGAACGCGACGTGGCCTCATCTGCCCTCCCCCCTAGAAGGATTCCTTTTGAAAGCCCCCACAAGAAGGATTCATAGTGAAATCCTCTACAGAAGGATTCCTATCGAAACCCTCCACTGAATGCTTCCTACTGAAGTCCTCCACAAATGGATTCCTATTGAAATCCCCCGCAGAAGGATTGACATTGAGATGCTACGGAAGAAAGAACCCCCCGTTAGCATTGCATTGGCATTGGTTTGACAATGGTTTGGCATCGCATTGGCATTGCGTTGGCATTGCGCTTGCCAGTGCACTGCTAGGGTGCTTGCAGTTCGCAAACATTGCGCTGGCGAGTCCTAATGGAATCCTCCACAAAAGGACTCCGATCGAAACCTTCTACAAGAAGGACTCCTATTGAAACCCTCCACAAAAACGGTTCATATTGACACCCTCCACAGAAGGATTCCACGCGAAACCCTCCACAGAAGGATTCCTATTGAAATCTACCACAAAGGGTTTTCCCCATTGGCAGTGCATTGGCATTGGGTTGGGATCGCTTTGGCATTGGTGTGGCATTGCGTTGGCACTGCGTGGGCATTGCGCTGGCATTGCGCTGGCGAGTTCCAACACCTCCCTTTGCAGAATGATTCCTGTTGAACCCCCCACAAGAAGGATTCCGATTGAAGCATCCCACAAGAAGGTTTCACATTGAACTCCCTCACTGAAGGATTCCATTCGAAGCCCTCCATAGAAGGGTTCTTCTTGAACCCGACAACAAACGATTTCCCCCATTGGCATTGCATTGGCATTGAATTGGGATCGCCTCGGCATTGGTTTAGCATTGCGTTGGTATTGCGCTGGCGAGTTCTAATGGCTCCCCCCACAGAAAGACTCCTACGAACACCTTGCACAAGAAGGGATCCGTTTGAAAGCCCCCACATGAAAGATTCAAAATGAACCCCCCCACAGAAAGATTCCAATCGAAACCCTCCACGGGAGGATTCCTATCGAAATCCTCTGGAGAAGGATTCGCAACCAAATCATTCACATAAGGTTTCCGAGTGAAATCTGTTGGAAGACAGAAACCCCGTCATCGGCATTGCATTGGCATTGGTTTGCAACGGTGTGGCATCGCAGTGGCATTGCGTTGGCATTGCGATGGCAGTGCGCTAGCAGTGCGTTGGCATTGCGTTGACATTGCGCTGGCGAGTCCTACCCAAACACTTCACAGAAGGATTCCGATTGAACACCCCCACAAAAAGGATGCCTATTGAATCCCCCCCCACAAGAAAGAGTCACATTGAACTCCTCAACAGAAGGGTTCCATGCGAAACCCTCCATAGAAGGTTTCCGATCGAAATCCCCCGAAGAAGGGTTCTTACAAGGATTGCTACCGAAATCTACCACAAACAATTCCCCCAATTGGCATTGCATTGGCATTGGTTTGGCATTGCGTTGGCACTGCTTCGGCATTGCGCTGGCGAGTTCGAGTAGCTCCCATCACAGAGGGATTCCTTACCTTCCACAAGAAGGGATCCTTTGAAAGCCCCCCACATAAAATATTCATACTGAAACCCCCACGGAAGGATTCCAATCGAAAACCTCCACAGGTAGGATTCCTTTTGGAATCTACCGCCAAGGATACCCCCCATTGGCATTGCATTGGCATTGAATTGGGATGATCGCTTTGGCATTGGTTTGGCATTGCGATGGCAAAGCTTTGGCATTGCGTTGGCATTGCGCTGGCGAGTCGTAATGGCTCCCTCCGCAGACGGACTCCTACTGAAACCCTCCACAAGAACGATTCCGATCGCATCCTCACACATGAAGGATTCCTAGTGAAACCCTCCACATAAGGATCCCCATCGAAACTCTACACATAAGCATTGCTATTGAAATCCTCCGAAGAAGGATTCATAATGACATCATCCACTAAGTACTCTAATTGAAATGTACCGAACGAAAGGATTCCCCCATTGGCATTGCATTGGCATTGGTGTTGGTTGGGAATGGATTTGTATCGCATCGGCATGCATTGGCCTGGTGCAGCAGACAGACAAAGAGAGAGAGAGAGAGAGACAAAGAGAGAGAGAGAGAACACTAGAGAACGATATAACGAGAACCTATTAATATGAGGGGATCACGGCGAAAAGAAAAATGGCAAGCAACAATCAAAGTCAAGGGTGCAAGAGCGTTTTACTCGATAAAAATCGTACGACAACGACGAGGGGCTCCACAATCCCCCGGCCTCTCCTCCTCCTCATCCTCCCCCTCCTCATCATCACCATCATCATTACACTAATCGTGATCATCTACCCCTCCTGCTCCTCGCCCCCCCAAGCATTATCATGATCCCATGCCTCCTCCTCATAACCCTTATCCTCCTCCAACTCTTCCTGCTCCTCTTCCTCGTCACACTTCTATTCCTCTCAGACTTCCCCTCCTCTCATCCTCATCCTCGTCCTCGCCCCTGCCATCGAAGCCACTATCCCATCATCGACATCATTCACCTCACCCAAACTCCTCCTGATGATCCTTCTCACCGTCCGCTCTCTTCTGCTCACCTGGGCCAGGGGCTTCGGCAGGGCATCGCCATCCTCCACCAGGCTCTTGGCCTTCCGGATGGTCCTCTCCGCATACTGGATGCCCTCCTGCATCGCCCGGTCCGCCTCCTCCTTCACCTCCTGCGCGCCACTGGCAGAGAGAAAGGAGGCAGACGACGCTTCTGCGCAGCCAACAGAAACCTACGCATACGCACAACCACTTCCTCACCCCACCACTCCAGACCCACCGCAACAAGACAGGGAGGTGGAGGGACGAAAGCGGGGGCGGCAACACCTTGGACAACAGAAGAGTAAGGGACGGACCGAGGACGCGAGACGCGGTCCTGTGGGAGGGATCCACAAGGCCCGCAACGGCAATGAACGGCATTCTCCAGGAAGAGCGAGAAGGGTCAGGACGGGAGAAGAAATGCAGGGCCCCCTGGGGGTGCCTGGGGCCAACAAAAAGTCCCAAGACGAGCCCTAGAGTGCCCCAGGAGGGCCCCAAGACGGTCCAAAGAACCTCGAATCGCCGAACAATCGTTCCAAGACGTCTTTGCGGCCTCCAGGCGGCCCAAGAGGGCTGGAAGACGCCCCAAGTGGCTTCGAAGAGCACCCCCAAGAGAGCCCCCAGAGGCCGAAGTCATTGATTTCATAGCGTTTTTCAAGGATGTGGGCTTCCCGACGCTCCAAAACCGCCCAAGAGGCTCCAACCATCGCCCCAAGGGGCCTCCAAGGGGGTCCCGAAACGGGCCAGAGAGGGCCCGAAGATGGTCCATGACCTCTGCAAGACGGTCCAGGAAGACCCCAACGGGGCTCGAAAAGGGTGCCCAGACAGGGGAACCAAACGGACATTTCGAGCCCTCGGCCCCGGGAGGCTCCCAGTAGGCCCAACGAGGCCCCCGAGAGGCCCCCAAGAGGCTCCAAGAGGCCCCCAAGAGGCCCCCATGGAGCCTCGAGAGGCTCCCCAGAGGCTCCCAAGAGGCCTCCAAAACTGCCCCCCAGAGGCCTCCAAGAGCGCTCCGGCGAGACCCCAAACATAGTCCCTGAAGACTCTGACCCACGTCAGCGTCGTCGTCGTCGTCATCTTCGTCGTCGTCCCCCTTCAAAGTCGGCAGCACCAGCCGTAAGGCCTTCGCAATATCGCCCCAGGACGGCCCCGAAGGCCCTTAAGAGGGTAGCAAGACTGCTCAAGAGGGCCCCAAGACGGCCCAGGAGGCCCAAAAGACAGCCCAATTGACGTACCTCCAAGACGGCCATGAAACGCCCAAACATGGAAACCACCACTCCCTCAGAGAGCGCTCCAAAACAGCCTCTGAAGGCCAAGCGGCCCCATTAAGTCTCCGAAAAGCCTCCGAGAGGCTCCCTAGAGGCCCCAAAGGTCCCCAAGAGCCCCTCAGAGGCTCGCAAGGGGCTCCCAGGAAGCCACCAGGAGGCCCCAAGAAGGCTTCACGAGGTCAGCTGTTCTACTTCGTCCTCCTCCTCCTCCTCCTCCTCCTCCTCCTCCTCCATTCCTGTTCCCTAAATAAATCGAAGCATGTCCTCCTCCTCCTCCTCCTCCTCCTCCTCCATGATCCTCCGTCTCTTCCATCCTTATCTCTGTTTGTTGTCCGCCTCCGCCTCCTCTTCCTCCATTCTTCCTCCCTGTCGCACCCCGAGGCCTGTTGAAAGGGCAGGCTGGACGTTTCGCTTGGGATTTCCTCATCATTGAACCTGACACTGAAAACATTGGCAGAAGCTTCACAGATGGAGGGCGGGTCTTGTTTCAAAATGTGGCTCTCGCTTTAGCGCCGCGCACATTCGTCTTGAAAAATTGCAAGGGCTTCACGGATTGAAAGCTGGCCATTTTCAAAATGTGGCTCTCGCCTTAGCGCCGCGCACTTTCGTTTCTAAAACTTGCAAGAGTTTCGCGGATTGAGGATCAGTTTCAAAATGTGCCTCTTGCCTTCGCACCGCGCAAATTCCGTTTCAAAATGTGACTCTCGCCCTAGCGTCGCGAACATTCCTTCCAACTGATTGCAAGAGTTTCACTTCTTCCCATGGTCAGCGTATCAGAGATGGCACTTTGGAAAGATTCAGGACTACACAGGTTGAACAGTCACATTGATTCGCGGTGTTGAAGTCCCAGGAATGGCGTTCTGGCACGATTTAGGAATCGTCAAGACACAAAGGTTAGGTGGATCCGTGGCGTTGGAGTCCCGAGAACAATATTTTGGCAGGCTTTAGGGTCTTCAAACGGATGTCTTCCAACGAGGCAGTTCCCTGTGGAAATGAATCCTTGCAGGGGCCTATGAAGAGGGAGCTTGGAGGGAAGGTTTATTCCAACATCGTTGATGACTCTTCAGTTTACTCTGGTCCTCCTCCTCCTTCTTCTCCCCTCCTACTCCTCATCCTCATTCCCCTCCCTATACAACTCCTTTCTCTTCCTCCCCGAAAGTGCCCCGGAAGTGTGTCCACAACGGCTTTGTGGAACACATAGTCCAAGTGCTTGGCAAGACTTCGGCGCAACGCTTGGCCGCTCGGGCGCCTCCAAAACGCAGGGGGCGAAGGTGATTCGCCGTGGGCGTCTTCGACAGATGCGAATGAGAGCACGTGTGTGCACATACACACATGTATATGCCATGTCTGATCACACATCTAACGGCATGCACATTGCAAACGCCACCACGCACAACACAAAACAGACCGGGGTGGCGGACGCGGCCATCGGCCTCGCCCAGCATGGTGGTGAACTCGGCGAAGGACTGCCTCTGCCTGCCCCCGGGGAGCGCGGCGCGCGCGCGCGGCGCGCGAGGGAGTGCGCGCCGAGCCGGGCCGCCCGGCGCTTCGCCGAGGGGGGCGGGGGCGGTCCTGCTGCCGGCGGAGCCCCGGGGCACGCAGGCACGGACTGGCGATCCACGGATCTGGCGCGCGGTCGCCAGGTCCAGGGATCGGGGCAGGCGCCCTCCCCAGAGCGCGGCCGGTGCCGCCTCGCTCGGCGGCGGTCGTCTGCGAGCTCCTGGCGACGGGACCCGTCGCCAGTCCACGCCCTGGTCATCCATGCTTCCGATCCTCTGATGAGCGACGAGAAGACACGGGTCCTCCTCCTCCTCTTCCTCCTCTCCTCCTCCTTCTCTCTCCTCCTCCTCCTCCTCCTCCTCCCCCTCCTCCTCCTCCTCCTCCTCCTCCTCCTCCTCCTCTTCCTCCTCCTCCTCCTCCTCCTCCTCGTCACGCAAGATGCCACAGCGACCTCACGCGGCGGCCCGCGCGAGCCGCTGGCGCGGAACGCCACATCGGAAGCGAGGGCGGTGACGCGCCACCTTTTGCGCGGGGTGCTCGCGCGCGGGTGTCGGCGGAGGCGGCCCCGTCGCTCGGCGTCGCTGGACCGAGGATCGGGCGTCCTGCTGCCAGCCATGGCGAAGCCAGGACAGGGACAACATCGGACCAGGACACAGCGGCGATCTCTGAAACAGGCCTCGGAAAAGTTCGCGAACAAAATTACTCCGACGGTAGGACCCCGCATGAGAATCTGTTCAGCTTACCCTTTGCCCTTTCCTCTTCCTCCTGGGGTTCCCGCCTGAGACTTCCTCAAAATTCACTCACAGACGAGGCTCCCGCTCGAGACTTCCTCCATATTCATATCTCAAGAGCCCAAAAGTGACGACAGTTACACGTTGCGGACGACCCGCTCGGATTCAAACATGAAGTGCGGGCCCCATAGGGAGGGGGCTCCCGCCTGAGACTTCCTCACAATTCACTCACAAACGAGGCTCCCGCTCGAGACTTCCTCCATACTGAAGTCTCAAGAGCCCAAAAGTGACGACAGTTGCACGTTGCGGATGACCCGCTCGGATTCGAACAGGAAGTGAGGGCCCCATAGGGAGGGGGCTCCCGCCTGAGACTTCCTCACAATTCACTCACAACGAGGCTCCCGCCTCCTCCATATTCAAAAGTGACGACAGTTTGCGGATGACCCGCTCGGATTCGAACAGGAATGAGGGCCCCATAGGGAGGGGGCTCCCGCCTGAGACTTCCTCGAGCTCGAGATTCAGTCTCAAGAGCCCAAAAGTGACGACAGTTGCACGTTGCGGATGACCCGCTCGGATTCGAACATGAAGTGCGGCCCCATAGGGAGGGGGCTCCCGCCTGAGACTTCCTCGCAATTCACTCACAGACGAGGCTCCCGCTCGAGACTTCCTCCATATTCATATCTCAAGAGCCCAAAAGTGACGACAGTTGCACGTTGCGGATGACCCGCTCGGATTCAAACATGAAGTGCGGGCCCCATAGGGAGGGGGCTCCCGCCTGAGACTTCCTCACAATTCACTCACAGACGAGGCTCCCGCTCGAGACTTCCTCCATATTCATATCTCAAGAGCCCAAAAGTGACGACAGTTGCACGTTGCGGATGACCCGCTCGGATTCAAACATGAAGTGCGGGCCCCATAGGGAGGGGGCTCCCGCCTGAGACTTCCTCACAATTCACTCACAGACGAGGCTCCCGCTCGAGACTTCCTCCATATTCAAATCTCAAGAGCCCAAAAGTGACGACAGTTGCACGTTGCGGATGACCCGCTCGGATTCAAACATGAAGTGCGGGCCCCATAGGGAGGGGGCTCCCGCCTGAGACTTCCTCACAATTCACTCACAGACGAGGCTCCCGCTCGAGACTTCCTCCATACTCAAGTTTCAAGAGCCCAAAAGTGACGACAGTTGCACGTTGCGGATGACCCGCTCGGATTCAAACATGAAGCGCGGGCCCCATAGGGAGGGGGCTCCCGCCTGAGACTTCCTCGCAATTCACTCACAGACGAGGCTCCAGCTCGAGACTTCCTCCATACTCATATCTCAAGAGCCCAAAAGTGACGACAGTTGCACGTTGCGGATGACCGGCTCGGATTCAAACAAGAAGTGAGGGCCCCATAGGGAGTGGGCTCCCGCCTGAGACTTCCTCACAATTCACTCACAGACGAGGCTTCCGCTCGAGACTTCCTCCACATTCAAGTCTCAACAGCCCAAAAGTGACGACAGTTGCAGGTTGCGGATGACCCGCTCGGATTCAAACATGAAGTGCGGGCCCCATAGGGAGGGGGCTCCCGCCTGAGACTTCCTCGCAACCCACTCACAGACGAGGCTCCCGCTCGAGACTTCCTCCATATTCATATCTCAAGAGCCCAAAAGTGACGACAGTTGCTCGTTGCGGATGACCCGCTCGGATTCAAACATGAAGTGCGGGCCCCATAGGGAGGGGGCTCCCGCCTGAGACGTCCTCACAATTCACTCACAGACGAGGCTTCCGCTCGAGACTTCCTCCATATTCAAGCCTCAAGAGCCCAAAAGTGACGACAGTTACACGTTGCGGATGACCCGCTCGGATTCGAACAGGAAGTGAGGGCCCCATAGGGAGGGGGCTCCCGCCTGAGACGTCCTCGCAATTCACTCACAGACGAGGCTCCCGCTCGAGACTTCCTCCATATTCAGGCCTCAAGTCAGCGAGTAGTGATGATGATGATGATGATCGTTCGATGCCGATGATGGTCGTGGGATGGTGATGGTGATGCTGATGGTGATGATGATAATGAGTGGGGAGTGATGGTGATGGTGATGATGATGCGGAGGAGGAAGCAAAGAGGAGCAGAGGAGAGGGAGGAGGAGGAGATCCTGCGCGGAGGGTGTGCAGAGAAAACAAGAACCCCACTTAGGATGTGGGGAATAATGCCACACTCATTTGTCAACGCCTACCTCTCCCCCAATGTTCAAAGTTGGCGGTGGGCCTGATGAGTTGCACCTCGACTGCAGTTCCCCTCCGCGCGTGCAAACTTTGAGCTTTGGGGAGAGGGGTAGTGTTTAGAGGCCTCCTAGATGAGGTCCGACTAGATGGGGCCGGACGATCGCACCGCATCGCCGATGCATCGGCGACGTCGGCGGAGCTTCGGCGACGCCAGCGCGGAGAAAATCGGGCCCCGCGTCTTGGACACAAGGACAGGGGAGCGACGATAGGGGGTGACTGACATAGGTGGGGGACGCCTCGACCTGGCATGGGCAATACATCGCCGAGAGATCGGCGGCGATAGGCCCCCCGAGAGCGAATCCGTGCCTCCCTATCTGGCGGGTTTTTCTCTGGACAAATCTTCGCAAATTTTGAAATTCGGGGGTCCCCAGGAGACTTCTGGGAACAGTGTTACTCTGGATCCCTTAATAATCGACTCCCCCCTAAAAAACCGGACCCCCCCTTCCTTCGCGACATAATTTTCCGGACCCCCTCCCGCAGAGGGCGCCTTAATATTCCGGACCCCCCCCCAGCAAAATTGCGAGCGCGACGACGACGACGACGACGATACGAGAACTACGACTACGACGACGACGACGACGACGACGACGACGACGACAACGACAACGACAACGACGACGACGACAACGACAACGATAGTCGTCATCGCCATCAGAAGTACCATCATTGCCACCGCCGCATCATATCGTGATGGTGATAACGACGATGATCAGGATGATGACGATGATGTTGAAAATGTTGTTGTTGATGATGATGATGAGAATGATGATGCTGATGATGTTGGTGATGATGAACATGATGATGACGATGACGATGACGATGACGACGATGATGATGATGATGCTGATGATGATGATGATGGTTAGTACTCCGCGGGCTAGTACCCAAAAGGCGCCCTAATAAACCGGACCCCCCCTGAACGTCAGCTTCAAGAAACGCCGTAATAAACCGGACCCCCCTGCTTCCCCAAAAGGCGCCTTAATAAACCGGACCCGGGGGACGATTATTAAGGGATCCGGAGTAAGCCTAGAGGCTCGTCTTGAGATACAACGAAAAAAGAAGATCCCCATGATAGTCATTGGAGATCCCCCCACAAACTCCGCAGGCAGAGGCCCCTTGGATAGGGTCGGAGTAGATGTGGTCGGTGGCTCGCGCCGCATCGACGGTGCATCGCCGATGTACCGGCGATGCATCGGCGACGTCGGCGATGCATCGGCGACGTCGGCGCGAAGCAAATCGGGCTCAACATCGAGCCGCACCGGCGATGCATCGGCGATGCGGCGCGATCCTCCGACCCCACCTCCGACCCCATCTAGGAGTCCTAGACCATAAATTCCACAGGGTCCAGTTCGCGGAGTTTCAACGACCTCGGGCCCAAAGCCGGGGGCGCAGGCCTGGAGAATGACGGCCGCGGCGCCCTCTCGAGAAGCGCAAACGGACAGTCCACTGATCGACGTGTCAGGGTGGGGGCTGTGTCCACCCCCGATTCCAGGGCTGAACCCAAACGGTGGTTTTCGTTTCCGTCTTGTGTTCGTGTTCCCTCGTTGTGTCTTCGATTCGCCCTTGCCGCAAGACGACATCGAAAAGAAAACGGCCCACGAAATCACCAAAACACCGTTTAGGTCCACCCCTGACCAACCCCTGGGGCTTCGTCCCGGAACGCTGAGCACCCGAAGAGTGCGTCGGTTCTCTCCCCCCCCCCAAAGTCCATCCAAGACGGCCCTGAGGGTCTCTCAGACGATCAGGATGGCCCAAGACGGCCTCCAAGATGCCTCCAGGACGGCCAAGCTGGCCCCAAGAGCCCAAGACAGCTCAGGTCCAGCCCTGCCCGACTCCTCCGTCCGTCGGGCTTGGTGGTCTCCAAACCAGGTGGTGAGACACCCGGTGGTGACCCGATTCCCCCCAAGAATAATTCTGGGTCACCACCGGGTTTGGGGACACGCGGTCGCCACGAGGTTTTGCGTTTCCTGGGCCAGCCAGCGCTCGAAAACCATTACCCAAATCGCCCAAAACTCACCACCGGGTGTTCTCACCACCACGTTTGGGGACCACCAACGGGCCCAGGGCCCCGCGGAGGCGCCCGGGGCGACGAGCACCCCGAGGCAGCACAGAACCCGTGCTCTCTGACCGAAGGGGCCCCAGGACACACACACACACATAAATAGACACAACTAAACAGACTCCCCCTATGCTGTCCCATGCCTTTCGGGCGTTCGTCTTCCCCCCACTTCCCATAGTTTCCCATATGTTCTGGGGAATCGACGATTCGTTGTGTCTGTGTGTTTTTGTCCCCTCCTGCTTGACGCGCTCGTCGGCCACAAGCAGGGAACCGAGCTCCATACACCGACGCCCTTTTTCTGGCCCTGCTCTGGAGTTCGCACAGGGGAGCGGATCCTCATGTACGCGGGATCCTGATGTAGACGTTTTCCTTGCTTCCCCGGGGAAAACGGGGAAACAAGTATACACCGCACTACCCCGACGTCGTCCCCGACCCTCCAAAAAGTCAGCAGATTGCAAAACAGCCCGCCACGGGTACTGTATATGCTGCTGCAGCTTCCGAATTTGACATACAGCGGAGGCCAGTCCACAAGAAACCTTCCACAAGAAACCCAACCCTGAGACCCCAGGACGTCCATCGATTTTTGGTGTGGGCACGTCACGCTTTCCATGGGTGGCCAAACCATCGAAGACCAAGAAACCCAGGGCACCCTGGAGGCAAGCAGGGTGCTTCTTGACATGGGCCCCCACTGTACTGCAGATGCTCCAGCTTCCGACTTTGACACGCGCGGCCACCAGGTCCCCAGGTCAACCAACTTCGCCCGTCGCGCCCCGCGGTGCTCGGAGCAGTGAAGGGGGCCCTGGGACCCGCAAATAAACAGACACAAGTGACCGGATTCCCCCTATTTTCCAATTTGGTCTTGCTTTTCGTCTTCCCTCCCACTTCCCATGTTTCACCATATTCTCTGGGGAATCGACGATGACTCGTGTCTTGATTGTTTCTGTCCCCTCCTGAAGCAGGGCGAGTGGAGACCACGGCAGCTCACCCTCGCTCCAGGCCAGCCGTCTGCGTCTCGACTTCGCCCTCGACTCTGACACAGAGCGGCGGCGTGCCCCCGAGGGCGACACCGCACTTTCCTGGGCGAGATTCGGGGAACGAGTATAAATATATATATATATATATATATATATATATATATATATATATATATATTAATATAAATATGTATATATATATGATATATATATACATATATGTATATATAAGTCGGGCCTGTCCCCCTACAGGGGGATTGTCGACGAAAAAAAAAACCCAAAATAATCCAAACATAGTTCAGAAATAGTCTGGGGACTATTTTTTGATGTTGTTTTAACCTTTTTGGGGCATTTGTTCTGGTATTCCTTAGTTTTCCTCGAGAATCCCCCTGCAGGGGGACACGCCCGACAGATATATATATATATATATATATATGATCGTGGGCTCAGGGCCCATGGGCCCCCCCCCAGATGGGATGGGTCCCAGGGTCCTCAAGCCCCCCCCCCAAGATGGGATGGGGGGAGAAGGAGGAGAAGGAGGAGGAGGAGGAGGAGGACAGGAGGAGGAGGACGACGACGACGACGACGACGAGGGCGATGACGACGACGCCACCGACGACGACGACGACGACACCGACAACGACGACGACGACAACGACGACGACGACGACGACAACGACGACGACGTCGACGGCACCATCAGCGGCGGCGGCGACGACGTCAAGCACCGGAGCTGTCAACATGACGCAAATCCCAGCCACACGCCGCATCCCCACCGCGCCCAAAGGGGGGAGGGAGGGGGGGAGGAGGACCATGGCGTCACCCCGCACACACCCACAGCAACACACCACACCCACACCACATCCACAGGAGGGGGCGGGAGCCACCACGCCACGCCCACGCCCACAGGGGGGGGCGCATCGCGCGGGGGGGGGGGCCCGATGGCATTAGCATTGGGGGGGGGGGCCGAACCCTCGACCATATATATATATATATATATATGTATATACATACACATATGTATATATGCATGTGTATATATATATGTATTATGGAGCCCCAGCGCGACGCCCGTCGTCGGGGAATGAATAATGACATAGACATAAAACCTCGGAGGTCCGCGCGGATTTCTAGGACCTGCGCTGGCTGGACCCCCCTGGCGGCGCCTCCGGCGCCGCCCCTGGCGCGCTCCGCGCGCCAGGGAGGGGGGTCCAGCGCCGACCCGAGATATCCGCGCGGACCTCCGAGTTTGCATGCTTCTGTCATTCTGCGTTCCCCTCGGGATGGGCCTCCGGGCCCCTGCCGGCGATCAGCGGGCAATCGGGGGTCGCCGCGTCCCCCCTGAGCCCATCCCACCCCAACTGGCCATCGCTCGGGCGTCCATTCCCTGTGCTTTTTTCAGTTTCGTGCGTGACTTTTTCGCCAAATAATCAAGGATGCTCCTCGAGGGTCCTCGCCGAGAAAAAAGTACACACGTCCGAGCGATGCCAAACCAACGCTGCCCCCTCGTCGTCGGGCCGTCTCTCGGCTCTCCGGCGGCCGTCCAGGACGTGCCCGGGCACATCCGGACCGCCCTCGGCGAGGCGCAGCTGCTGGCTGGGCCCACAAAGTTTACCAGCCTCGAACGGATCCCTATCCCTAGGACTGGCACGCCAAAAGGCGATGACAATCCTAGGGATCCGCCCTCAAAAAATAAGGGAATCCCTAAGACTGGCATCGTGATGAGGAGGCGCCCACAGCATAGGGATAGGGATCTGCTCCAGGCTGGCAAAAAAAGTCTCCGAGCGCCTCGAGCCTCGAGCCTTCGCCCCCCGCCCTGCGCCTGTCCCCCCGCCGGCGCCGCCCCTGACGCGCGAGAGCCGAGCCCCCCCCGCCGGCGCCGCCCCTGACGCGTGAGCGCCCGCAGGCCGCCGCGGCGCCGGGGGCTGGGCCAGCCGCCGACGCAGGGCGGGCGGGCGGGGCGCCCGAGCTCACCGTTTTCGGGCCGCGGCCCGTGGGGCGGCGGAGGCCGGGGAAAGCGCAAGGTGCCGATGCCGCTGCTGCCCGGACCTCTCGGCTACAGTCGGGGCGTTGACCTAAGGAAGCCCACATAAGGAAGGAGGCCCCTTTCCATAAGTTAAACTTCGATTTCCGATCGAAAACATAAGGAAAACCTGAGGCAAGCTGTGAAGCACTTCAGGAACGCGGAGCCCCTCCCCAACCAAAAGGGTTCCTTCTTCAGGGCCCCGACTGTACACGCAAGGGCGGCCCTGGGCAGGAGTGACCTGTGGTGCGCGGCTTCGTGGGAGGCCGCGAGGTGACCAGACACGAGCGCGCAAGACGCTACCATCGCATCACGTTCGGTGATCGGGGGACCCTGATGGGCCCGCACCAAAGGTCGCTCTGGCGGAGGGTCACTCTAACGTGTAATCGAATCTCTCCTGGGGCGCGTTCTGACCAGAAATGTGCCCACGACCCGGCGATCTAGAGCGTGCAAGAGCCAACACGGATGGAGGGCGGCTCCTCTTTCGAAACGGGGCTCTCGCGTGAGGCTCACGCCGAGCATGCGTCCACGACTTTGACATCTGCAACGTTCAGACGGATGGAGGGCATGTTCTGTTCAATGAGGCATCCATGGGCCTCCTTGACGGGCTCTCGCGTGGGACTTCCGCATACATATATATATATATATATGTACACATATATATATATATATACGTCCACGGCTTTGACACCCTGCAGCGTTTCCACGGATGAGGCGCGTGTGGCTCTCAAAATGGGGCTAACCCTGGCGTCCTTCACGTGGAGGCAAGACCCTTCGCATCAGGCGCCGTCGTCTGACTGGCGGGCCGACCCGCCGCTCGTCATTCAAGGGGGCGCCCGCAGTGGAAGAGAAGGTTTGTATGGACTCACACGGACTTAGAGAAGGGTGTATTGCAGCATCGGTTGATGCATCTTGGGTGTGCAAAAGATTCGCGTGGCGCTGGCGCGCGCAAAAAAATGTGAAACCGCCTCGACCGTTCAACCTCGAATCGATCGCGGTCCCTCATGTTCAGGGCTGAATTCGCCCGGGTCTGGGTCCAGTACCATTACCGTGTCCATCGGTGCTCCCGCGTCGCAGAATTCAACCTTGCACACCTTCGCCAGCGTCGCCGGCGCGCCAACGTCGTGTGAACCTGCCGTATTCTGGTCTTCCTCCTCCCTCCGCCCCCCCTGCCGAGAGCTCCTGACGCTGTCGACGCGCCGCAAGGCCGGCGCCCGCTCGGCTGCCTCCAGCACCTCCTCCGCTGCCTGCCGCGCAGGGAGCGCCCTCCTGCTTCCTCCTCTTCCTCCTCCTCCTTTTCCCTCTCCCAGGGCGCCCTCCTAGACCTGAGGCAACCCACAAGGGAGGCCATGCAGAAGGGGGTTGGACTTGGGAGTTTGAGCGTGATTCGCTACACCGACGCATTCGCATGACGTGGCTGTCACAAACAGCTCGCACCACGAACTTGTATTGCCCGGGTCTTGGAGCGTCGTGCGAACTCGACGGGCCGAATTCCGCCAATCTGCTGCGGGCGGATTTCCGATTCAGCCATCGGGCCCGGAAAACGCTCTTAGGCACCCCACGTCCCCTGCTCGCAGTCTCTCTATGAGATCAGGTCGAATCTGGACGGTCACGCCGCAATCGGCCAGCGCAGCATCGCAATGCAACGGGTAGGCTACAATACATTGCAATACAACTTGGGTGCTGCAGTAGGTCTGTGGCGTGCAGTCTGTTCAGTGACGCAAATGTATTGCTCGATTATTGCGCGCAGTACAGCAGTCGCAACACAATGCGATACGATTCTCTGGCGCAATGCATTTGCAATCACACTGCTCGGCTGCAATACATTTGGAAGGTGTCGTCAGCGCACGCTGCAACTGCAACCCGCATTCTGTGCCAGACATAGCACTCCGTCACAAGCGCGCCAACTCTTGATGCGGTTGTTGGAAGACGGTTTTTGGAAGACAAATGGACTAAGTCAAAAATATCGATTTAAAAACACTGAAACAAAGTACAACAAATTCCCCTGACCATTTCTTGACTATTTCCCTACCTAGGCTCTGCCAAGAAGGGTTCTTACTCGGTAGCTTAAAGGGCCGGGCAGTGGGGCCCGCCCCGGGCGGTTCCCCCAGTATCCGCCCCGCGGTTCCCCCAGTGACGTTCCCTTAGCTTCGCGTTGCTTATCTCATCTTAGCTTAGCATATTTCATCGTACATTAGCTTAGCTTCATCTTGCCTCAGTTTTTCCCTACCTAGGCTCTGCCTAGAAGGGTTCTTACTCGGTAAGCTTAAAGGGCCGGGCAGTGGCGCCCGCCCCGGGCGGTTCCCCCAGCATCCGCCCCGCGGTTCCCCCAGGATCCCCCACGTTGCCTAGCCTAGCTTAGCTTAGCTTAGCTTGGCTTAGCTAGGCTAGGCTTAGCTTAGCTTAGTTTGGCTTAGCTTAGCTTAGCGTAGGTTGGCTTAGCTTAGCCTTGCTTAGCATAGCTTAGCTTACTTGACTTAGCTTAGCGCAGCATAGCGCAGCGCAGCATTAGCACAGTATAGCATAGCATGGCATCGACAAACATATCATAGCATCGCATAGCATAGCTCAGCATAGCATAGCATAGCATAGCATAGCGCAGCATAGCATAGCATAGCATATAATCGTATCGTATCACATCGCAGCATATCATAGCATAGCGCAGCATAACACAGCACAGCATAGCATAGCATAGCGCAGCATAGCATATCATAACATAGCCTGGCCTAGCCTAGCATAGCGCGGCATAGCATAGCAACTCATAGCATAGCGCAGCATAGCATAGCATAGCATAGCATAACAACGCCTAGCTTAGCTTACCTTAGCTTAGCTCAGCGCAGCGCAGCATAGCGCAGCGCAGCATTAGCACATCATAGCATAGCAAAGCATAACCAACCATGGCATAGCATAGCATAGCATAGCATAGCGTAGCATGCACCGCAACATCAAACCACATGCAAACGTGTAGATGTATATGTAGATGTAGGTGTAGGTGTAGATGTGGATGTAGGTGTAGGTGTAGATGTAGATGTAGGTGTAGATCTAGGTGTGGATGTAGATGTAGATGTGAATCTCGCTGTTGATGTTGATGTAGATGTAGATGCAGGTGTAGATGTTAATGTAGCTGTCGGTGTAGATGTAGATGTTGCTTTCCTAGATGCTCCAACTCCTAGGTAGGGTCGCACTGGGATATGTTTGAATCTTCCTTCAGTGGAGAGACATGCCCGACTTAAGACTACTGACGCAGATGTGCCGCCGAGCCCTTCGAAAACAGTCCGAAACAACGCCTGTCTGCCGTCTGCCTGATTTTTCTTTGCTTGTCCTGGGGACGTCCGCAGGCACACAGAGCAACGAACGGCAGAAGAGCGCAATCACTTTCGCACTGGCCCGTCTGAAATGTCAGTGCCAGCTAAACTTGTTGCCACCGCCCCCATTTTCCTTTGGTCTGCCCAGCTGGATGTTCGGGAAATATGTATATCTATATCCAGGGCGTCTTGGACTTTCTTTGAAGGGGCGCCGCAAGGCCGAAGCGCACTGGCTATGGATGAAAATCGAGCCTCTAGGGGCCAGACATTTATCCATATCTCATATCCAGATCCGCCCTGGCCTGCTTCCCGAGTCGCGTCCAGCCATGGGGACGAGCCCCGCGAAACGCCCAAAAATCTCCAAAGCGACGACGACGACGTCGACGACAACGGCTGCGGCGACGACGGATGCGGCGACCTCCGCCGCCGTCGTCGTCGTCGTCGCCAATGCCATCGGCGTCGTCGTCGTCGTCGTCGTCGTCATCGTCGTCGTCCTCGCCCTCGTGGTCATCGTCGTCGTCGTCATCGTTGTGTTCATCAACGTCGTCCTCACCCTCGTCGACGTCGTCGTGGTCGTTGGCGTCACGGCCGTCGCAATCGTCATCGTAATCGTCGTCGTCCTCGCCCTCGTCGTCGTCGTCCTCGTCAGCGTCGTCCTCATCCTCATCCTCGTCTTCGTCGTCGTCGCCGCCGCAGACGTCGGCGTCGTCGTAATCCTCATCGTCGTCGTCGTCGTTATCGACGTCGTCGCCGTCGTCGTCGTCCTGGCCCTCGTCGTCGTCGCCGTCCTCGACCTCAAAATTGTCGTCGTCGTAGTCGTTGTCGCCCTCATCGCCGCCGCCGCCGTCATCTTCGTCGCCGTCGGCGTCGGCGTCGTCATCGTCGACGTCGTCGTTGTCGTCGCCCTCGTCGTCCCCGTCGTCGTCGTCCTCGCCCTCGTCGCCGTTGTCGACTCCGCCGTCGTTGTCGACGCAGCCGTCGTCCTCATCCTCAGCGTCGTCGTCGTGGCCGCCGCAGCCGTCGTCGTCGACGTCGCCGTCGCCTCCGCCGTCGGCGTCGTAGTCGTCATCGTGGTCGTTGTTGTGCTCCCCTTAGTCGTCGTGATCGTCGCCCTCGCCGTCGCCCTCGTCGTCGTTTTCGTGCTCGTCGTCGTCGTCGTCGTCGTCGTCCTCGTCCTTGCTGTCGTCGTCGTCGTCGTCGCCCTCTTGTCGCGTCGTCGTCGTCGTCGACGTCCTCGCCCCCGTCGTCGTCGTCCTGCGCGCAGGCCGAACCGCGCGCGCGCGCAAGCCGCCTTCAGCGCCTCCGCGACGCGGTCTCGCACAGCCTGGGGCGTCTGGGGGTCGGCGGCGGCGGCCTCCGGGCAGGTTCGGGGGAGCCAGGGAGAGCGAGGAAAAGGGGGAGGAGGGTGAGGAGGGGGGGAAGAGAGAGAAAGAGAGAGAGAGAGAAAGACAGCGAAAAAAACAACAAAACAAAAAACGCCGATGCGGCGACCGCTTGCCTTCAGTGGCTTCGGCGGGCGGCACAGGCCGCCCGCGCAGGGAAGGGGGGGAGGATGGAGGAGGGGCATCCGCGCAGGGGGGGGGGGGGTAGGGAAGAGGAGGAGGGAGGAGGGGCAGCCGCGCGGGGGGGGCGGGGGGAAGCGGAGGAGGGAGGAGGGGGGGCGAAGGGAAGAGGAGGAGGTGGGGCGGAGGGAAGAGGAGGAAGGGCTGAGGGGCGGGGGGGCGGAGGGGAGAGGGGAAAGAGGAAGGAGGAGGGACGAGAGAGAAAGATGCGCCGCGCGGCTTTGCCATGTCTATGTTCGATCGGGACACCGGTTGGGCGTGCGGCGCCTTGGGACCTCGCGAGGACCCGCCCCTGACGCCACAGCCCGGCCACACCATCGCCCATCAGGGGGCTCATGATCAGCAGTAGAAGGACCCTTTAACCCTTTGGGTGGTGACCAGAGTTGGAAGGGCAATATAAGGTGATCTGTTTCTGCATATGTTCCACGCCATACCGCCCTTGTGTAGTATCCCTAACGCGGAGGCGGGAACCTCAGTGATGCCGCGTCTTCATGTCGACCCATCAAGAGAACGGAAGCGCCAGGCCCCTACCTGAAGAAGCAGGATTGGGCACCTGCTCGTCCGACCGAAGACAAGCAGGCTGAATCAGGAGGACGATGCACATGGGAGCCGTCAGTCGAGAGCGGCCAGGAGGGGGGCGCGTCAGAGGGGGGGGGGGGGGGGGGGCGCATATCATGGCCAGCAGCACGCGCGCGGCCCGGGAGGGGGGCCAGGGACGTAGTGAAATACGAAGAGGCGGCATGACATCTGGGAAAGACCATGGCCCCCGCCATGACATCCACCCCCCCCTAATCATCACCCCCCTCGTGGCCGCCCCCGAATCGGGATCGAGCCCGAAAATGAACGGCACTGGGTGCACTCCGAGCTTCTTGCGTGCATTGTAATAAAGAGCGTCCTCATGGGCCCTGCTCCGCCTTCCTAACATGAAGGGCCCCTGGGACACACAAATAAATACATACAAGTAACAGGATTCCCGATATTTGTCCCATCATATGTTCTGGGTTTTTGTCTTCCCTCCCACTTCCCATGTTTTCCCAGATCGTCTGGGGAATCGACGATTCATTGTGTCTGTGTGGGGTTTTCCCCTCCTGACATATTCCCGCACCTCATGAACAAGTCCTCCTCGCCTGGCCAACAGGCATGTCACCAGAGCGGGCCGGGCGGGCATCGCCTGAGACTTCCTCGCAGTGCCTCTGCGTGTGTGTGCGATTGTTGCGTCCCGGTACTTCGCCTCCAGGTTCCTGTTCAAGGCGTTCCTTTGCATGCACTTCGCTTTCGGCACCGCCTGATCCCCGGGTTTTGCCGTCTCCTGGCCTTGACGTGAGGCCCCTCCTTTTGTTTTCCTTCCTGTGTTAATTAAAGCTGTGCGCGGCCCGCTTAGCTTCGACCGGGAGAGGTGCGCTCTCAACCCGCGGATCAAAAACAATGTGTGTTCGACCGAAGCTTGGATGGTTCACCAGTTGCGAGCAGGACGTTCTGGTGGCTGGCCGAATGGAGCTCTCGCCTCGGCGCCGCGGGCAGCCGTCTTGAGCCACATGCAGCAATTACGAGACTGGCGGGCGGACCGTTTTCAAAGTGGCCATCTCGCACTGGTGGGCGCTGCGGATCTTTGTTTCAGACTGGGGCAATGGTTCCAAGGACGGAAAACAAATCAATTTCAACAAACCTATTTCGTCTTCGCGCCGCAAACCGTCGCCTGAACAAACCTGCAACCGTTACAAGGATGAGGGGGTCATTTCTCACTTTAGCGCCGCACGCATTCGTCTCCAGAGCACGCAAATCACGGTACTCCTTTTCAAAGTGGGGCCGTCGCTTCATATGTCCTTCAGCTGTTTAGGCGATACTTGAACACATGCAGCACCTGCGCGGAAGGAGTCTGGCTCATGTTCAAAACGGGTCTCTCGCCTAAGACTTCCTCGGAGCGCACGAACTGGATCGAGAACTGCTGCAACAGCGGCGCAGAAGGGCGCGCTTCTTTGGCAAAGCGGGGATATCGCAGGAAACCTCGTCAAGCCCATTCCTTACTACTCACCACAAGGATTAATTCGGGCCTCCTCCTACAAGGGGATTTTGGACGAAAAATTGAAAATCGTTATAGAAAAAAAAACGGCATGGCAAAACAATGCTGAACAAAACCGTCACCTGGCTATTTTTGACTATTTTTTGAAAATTCCTCCTGGATGCGAGGCACCTCTGGTCAAAACGGGGCGGACCTGGGGAGGGAGGGCGTCTTCCAGCATGGTTGATGCATCTTGGGTTCGCTCTAGTCCCTGTCCGCCTCCTCCTCTTCGGCATCGTCCCGTCCTCCTCCTCCCTTTGATCCTCCTCCTCCTCCTCCTCCTCCTCCTCCTCCTCCTCCTCCTCCTCTTCGTTATCCCCCTTCCCCTCCCCCCCTCTCGGGTCAAACTCGCTCCGGCTCAAACCAACGGGATGCTGTGCACATGTTCTCAGGGGTGTACCATTGTACCAAACGTGTGCCTGCTTGAACGCATTCGTGAACAACGCTGTTCAATTGAGGACGGCGCGCCACTGGATGGCCCCAGGGGGGGGGTGACCCCCCCCCCTTCCCCGATCCGTCGTCGGGGAACACGGGCAATCCCCCTCCCCTTCCCCCCCTTTCGCGGTCCGTCGTCGGGGACCCCCTCCCCCCCTCCCCGTTTATCCCTGTCCGTCCGTTGGTTCCCCCTCACCCCCTTTCAAAACGGGGGGGGGGGGTGCATCCCCCCTTTGGCCGCCAAATTCGACCCCCCCCCCCCCTTTCGCCACGGCGCCCCCTGGCTCCGCAACCCGACCCCTACCACCCCGAACGCTACCACCCCGACCACCCGCAACCCGAACCCCAATTCGAACCCTAGCACCAAACAGCACTCAGTACTCATTATTCACTACTCACTACCCACTACTCACTACTCGCTTGTCAGTACTCACTTCTCACTGCTCACTGCTCACTGCTCACGACTCACTACTCGTTACCCACTACCCATTACTCACTACCCACTACTCACTACTCCCAAATCACACCTCAATACTCACTATTTACTACCCACTACTGAATACTCACTACTCACTAAACACTAAGCACTACTCACTACTCACTACTCACTAATCGGTACTCATTACACACTAACCACTATCCACTACTCAGTACTGGATACTCACAGTTCACTACTCACTACTCATTGCCCACAACTCACTACTCACTATCCGCTGCTGGCTACTCGCTACACCCTACATCTTACACCGTACTCACTGCTCACTACTCACTATTCACCACTCGCTACTCCCTGCTCGCTACTGCCTACTCGCTACCCAATCCTTGCTACCCACTACTCACTACTCACTACTCACTACTCACTGCGCACTACTCCCTACTAACTAGTCGCACGTCACTACTAACTACTCACTGCTCAATACTCACTACTCACTACTCACGACTCACTACTCTCTACTCGCAACTCCCTACGCACTACCCACTACTCACTACCCACTTTTCACTTCTCACTACTCACTAACCACTACTCCCTACGCAGTACTCACTACGCACTATTCATTACTCACTACTCGCTACTCCCTACCCGCTACTCACTACTCCCTACTCACTACTCGCTACTGACTACTCCCTCCACACTACTCACTACCCACAATGCCCTACTCGCTACTCACTGCTCACAACTCGCTACTCCCTACTCGCTACTCACTACTCACTACCACTCCCACGCACTCACAACTCAGTACTCACGATTCACTACTCGTTGCCCCCTACTCGCCACTCACTACTCCCTACTCACTACCCACTACTGACTACCCCTCCTCATTACTCACTACTCACAATGCCCTACTCGTTACTCACAGTTTACTACTCGCTACTCCCTACTCGCTACTCACTACTCGCTACCCACCCACCGCTACCCACTACTCACTACTCGCTGCGCACTACTCCCTACTCACTACTCACTACTCGCTAAAATCTACTCACTACTCACTATTCTCTGCTTACTACGCACGACTCACTACTGACTACTCACTATACTCACTATGCCGAGGCCAGACCCCCCTCCTTGCGGGAGAGGCCCCTTCCCCGGCCCCCTGTTCGGTGCAAAGGGGGGGAAGGGGGGGGGGTCGAAGCCCCCCCCTCCTCCTGCGCCAAGGGGGGGAGGGGAGGGGGTCCAGACCACCCCCCCCCTTCAAGGGGGGGGGGGAGGGGGGGGGAGGACCCCCCCCCCTTAAGGGGGGGAGGGGGGGTGGGGGGGTCGAAAATTTCACCCCTCCTTTGAAGGGGGGAGGGAGGGGGGGGTTCTGCGAGCACCCCCCCCCTTTCAATTACAGAGCCATCCACCAGCGCGCTTTCTCTATTGAGAACGCTGGGACATGGCTTTACCACTGCACAAGTTCTTCCCACGTGCTCAGGTCCACAAGTAAGGCTAGCCTGGCCCGAGCCCTCGGGGGCATGTGAGGCATATGTTCCTCCGTGCGTCGCACTCGAAGTTTGCTCGGTACGTCGGAATGCTCCTGTCCATTCAGGTCGGCGTCCGCGTCACTCCCAGGGCCCATCACCGTGGCCATCGTGTGCCGATCAATCGCGATGTGGTGCTCCGCCTTCGTCATGCTCAGCATGGCTGTGGCCTATGTGGTTTTGGTATAGGGTGTGCCTGCATTCCTGGTCATGTTCGGGGCGGTGCTGCTGTTCCTGATGCGTGGTGGTGTGTATATTGGCCGTGCTCAGACCAATTGATGATCCCAGCGCACGGCGGCACTACCCTTTACGGCGTGGAGCAAATGGGCCTCACCAGAT